TAAAGAAAAAGAAAATTCTGTAGGCACAGATATGGAAAGTTCTCATATTACGTTTTTAAAACAAAATACATAGGAGCAATCATATGAGAACTTTCTAGGGTAACATAAACGATCTGTATCTTCACAGAGGTATGAGTTATGTGTGCATGTATTTATCAAAACTCAGTAAATATGACAAGATATACCAAAAAAAATACAAACAAAGGTATAAACAGCCATTTATGCAATAAAAAAAAAGAAGAGGGTAGTTAACTTTTTGTATCTTTTGACTTTGGAACCATGTGACAATAATCTCAGGTCAAAATGAAAATTCCATTTAAAAACATTCTACCTGTTGGGCACAGTGGTGCATGCCTACAATCCCAGCCCTCAAGAGGCTGAGGCAGGGGCTGGCGAGATAGCTCAGTGGTCTAACTCGCCTGCTTAGGCAAGCTTAGGCCAGCACTCAGGGACCAAGGTTTGAGCCCCAGCACCACATGCCGGGTCAGCCCTGCCCCAAGGGTGGGCTGAGTCAGCCACAAAAAAAAAAGAGAGGCTGAGGCAGAAGGATCCCTGTCTGACACCAGCATGGAGCACACAGTGAGTTCAAGGTCAGCCTGAACTATACACAGCCTGAACTATACAGAGGGCCCATCTTGAAAACAAAAAATAAATCCACATTTGGAAGTGTATTGCAGTACTGCCTTTAAAAATTAATAATTCATTTAGAAGATCTGTTATTCTTGCCATACTTGCTAGTAGAGGGCCATACTTCCAAAAAGCCAGTTCAAAAAATATTTATTATTTTAAGGAACTTAGAGAAATACTGCACACAGATAAAGGGGGAAAGCAGGTCAGACAGAAGGGCATCTATCTAGTCAGTAATATTTAATCCTGATGATGCTTTAGAATGATTCAGCAATCTAACTATCCATGCCCTGCATCCCAAACACAGACAACTGACATGAGACCTTTGGGGCATGGAACCCTAGCCTAAAAATCACTAGTCTCAATTCTTTCCAACAAAGCATCCCAAAAGAAAATTCCAGAAAGACTTTGTTTCCGAAAGGGATATTTAGTAATGTCTTGGAGACATTTTTGGTTGGGGAAACTTGGGGTAATGGTACCCTACTGGCATCTGTTACAGTCAGGGGGGCTGGGGAGATGGCTCAGTGGAATAAGCACTTCCCTGGCAAGTGCAATGGCCTGAGTTCAATCCCCGGGTCTGCCAAAAAACAAACAAAAAAAAACCCCGTCTTACAGTCATGGATACAGCTAAACTTTCTAGAATGTACCAGACAGTCCCTCACAACAATCAGATGGTCTAGAATATCAAGAGTCCTGAGATTGCCAACCCTTGCTTTAAACTAAAATCATTCCGAGCTGGGTGTGGTAACACAGGCCTGTAATCCCAGCACTTGGGAGGCTGAGGCAAGAGAACTGCCATGAGTTTGAGGCCAGCCTGGGTACTATAGTGAGTGGGGGAGGGTTTCTGGGTTTTTCTGTTTTTCTTTTTGGTCTTTTTGAAACAGGGTCTTGCTATGCAGTTCAGGCTGACCTTGTGCTCACTCTGTAGCCCAGGCTGGCCTCAAACTCAAAAAGATCCTCCTGCCTGAACCTTCCAAATTCTGGGATTACAGACATGCCCTACTGTGCTTTACCATACCGGGCTACATAGTGAATTTAAAGCCAGCCTGAACTATATAACAATAAGAAAAAAAAAAAAGACAGTGGGACTAGGGTTGCTGATTAAATCAGGCCTTTCACTCTAATTATAATTTTTATGCCTTAAAAAAGATCAGTAGCATATAAATCTTGAAAGTTAGCCATACAAAAAAATTTAAATGATAAAATGACTGCTCAACACCCAGTTTTAGAATTCATTCTTAACCCAAGAAATAACCTCCTTATTTACTAATGCGGCACATATCAGCACACAAAACTTATTTCAGTGGCCATAGAAACTACAATTTATTTGTTAACAAGATTATAACAAATACTATAGCCAAAGCTGGGCATGGTAGCTCATGCCTGTAATCTCAGCACTCATGAGGCTAAGGCAGGCCGATGGTCATCATGAGTTCAAGACCAGCCTGGACGAGCTGGTCAAATAGCTTAGCGGATTAAAGCTCATGCAAGCAGGAGCACTGGTGGGGGTTTTGATCCACTGGCCTGCTGTGCTGCCCCCCCCCCGGGGCGCACTGAAACAGCAATTGAAACTTGGCTGGTGGCACCTGCCTGTAATCCCAGCTCTTGGGAGGCTATCAACAGGTGGATCACTAGTAGTGAGACCCTGAACACCCTGTAGACTCTTCCCTAAAATACAAAAAAAAAAAAGACCAGCCTGGGCTACAAAGTGAGCTCAAGGCCAGTCTGCACAGCAAAAGCCTGTCTCAAAAAAAGAAAAAGATAAAAAAAAATACTGTGGGCAAAAGCTCTGTGCCCAGCCCTTCACTTATCCCTTTCTGGTTAATTTAGCCAAAACTTACAGCCCATTTATTTGTAAAGTACCCAGGTAGAAAGGTCTAAGTTTCACAAACAGGCATCCTGAAGGCCAATGTAGTCCATCCAGCTAGTTTAATACCAAAAGTCTTAAAAACGCCCTGAACTGATGCCAGTTAGCTGCCTCTTCCGGAGCCATCCGTACACTGTATTTCCCAGCAGGCCTCAGTGGCTGACTTCATTTACTCACCTGCTGCTCTCCACCTTGAGCATCTGAGTTGGCCCTTGGAAATTTTCTCCAACCACACAGAGCATACAGCCTCTTTACTCCTCTCCCTCTTCATGTTAAAAGAATCCCTCTGTCCATTCTGAATGCTCAAATTCCCCATCATTTGCTAAAACAGAACTTCTACCAAGAGAGAACTAGGAGAAAAGTAGAAGTAGCAATCTTTGTGAGACAACTCACTTCTTTTAGTTTTCATGTCATTAAAGATAGATTCATTGTCACCTGAATTGTTTCAGGCTTCTGCAAACAAGGTTTGTAGTTTCAAGCAAATTCCACTATAATTATGTACAGCTCTTCTGTGTGCATCCTTATAAGGAAAATACTTAAATTATCATGCTTCTCTCTTGATCCTAGATTATTCAAACCTTGTACTCTCCCAAAATAGGTCAGAAGATTTTGAAGAAGGTCTGTCAAAAGATTTGATAATGTTCTTTTCAAAAGCTTTGACATTACAATCATATATGGTTTTGAAGCTCTGCTTCAAAATTGCCTGATACAATCACATTTTATTACAGAGAAGGAACCAAAGGAAAGTTTGGCCACTTAGCTAGCCCACACCATGTAAGTCAGTGGCAGCACCAAAATGAGAACATTCCTTCCAGATATGGGCCCCATAGATTTTCCATGATAACATTATCACTCACTGTGGTTTTTATAGTCAAACAATATTCTAGCCAAGACACCTATGAACATGGGTAGATGCTACTAGCTGCCACAGAAATAAATTAACCAAACATGTGGCCACACTATTAAAACTTCCATAAACTTTGAGAGTGGGACGAACCTGGGTTCTGGATTACCTTTATTCTTTTCTGAATTAAACTGTCTCCGTTGGCTGACACCTTCAAAATCTGTAAACCAGGGGTGGTGAACCTAGGCACGTGTGCTGCAGCTGGCTGTTGGTTATCGTTGAAAGCTCTAAAAAGGTTTGCCATCACCGCTTTAAACCATAAATCAAAATAGAAAATATGCCCTTTTATAGCAACAGTAGTATTTTCACCCTAAAACTCTGAAGTAAGGATCTGCCTCAAACTTCTAAAATTCTACGCCAGAGACGGTAGAATTCAACTACTGAAAAGGACTGGGGAGTGAAGGAAGATGTGAAGGTCAACATCTCACTCAAATTTAACTTGCTTCATCATGGGTTTCTGGCAAACTGGTTTCTACAATTTTAATTTGGTCTCAATTTTAATTGTCTTCCTATCCCATTTTTTTAATGTATGGACAACATCACATTTTGCATAGCAGGTCTTCATGGAATATTTTACCTACTCTACACTTTAATCTTTATGCCTGATACCATCCCTTGCCATTCACATAAAATTCATTAAATGAACAGAGGCCCCATTATTTTCCCTAGAGAGCTTAGCACATCTTTGCTGCCCCATTTTATTTTTCTTTAGGGATGCCAAGTTCCATTCTGATACCTGAGTGCACACTTTTGTTTTACTTTCAGGTGCTTCACAACCTCATTCAACTGCAGCCCCCTCTGGGGAAACACGATCTAGTTAGAGAAAGTGGTGGAATCTATTCCCATCATAGCTAGGCCAAACTAAGGCAGGTAGGGAGCCCAGGTCTTCCGGGCCAGCTCAGCTGGTGCAAGCTGCCTACCAACCTTCAGGCAGGGAAAACGGATGGGATGCCATGGGAAAGGAGTAAAACAAGAGACTGGCACTGAGGCCAAAGTTGTCCTAGACCTGGCTCTGATGTTAAGAGCCCACACAACCGCTCTTACCCTAAGCCGTTTGCAGTCTAGGCCTCTAACTGCTTTAAGATAAAGCAACAAGGTGACTACAGTTCGAGTCCTGCCAGTCCAGCTACACAGCGACAACTTAGAATAGAAAAGGAACAAAATGTTATTGCGCAATTTACCCAACCTCAAGGTGTTTCTAAACAGCTCTTACCCAACCAAAACACACACACACACACACACACACACACACACACACACACACCAAACCTTAAAAATATAAACATTCACAAACCACCCACATTTTGTTCTGAAGTTTGTGTCAAGTAGATTTGAAGCTCAGGACGGCTCATTGAGGAAGTCCCGCCCAGCACGGTGATCCTCGGCGTGGTTTCTGTGTCTCTGCTTTAGACCTAAGCCGGCTGGAAGGGTGTCAGGCCCGGTTCCTCCGCACCCCGAAATCCCAGCCAGGAAAAGAGCTCCCAGACATCCCCCAGCCCCGCCAGCGGTTCCCATGGCCTCTGCCCCAAGGCTGTGGAGGTCGGGGCAGCGGGCCGCGCGCCTCGCACGCGGGGCCACTGGGGCCCACGGCCCCGCACTCACCAAAGTCTAGGAACTGTTTGATGGAGAGCGGCGATGGCGAAAAGCGCGAGTAGCGCTCGATTTGCTTCGGCACCGAGTGCTTCAGCAGCCACGGGAACAGCCGCATCCTCGCAGGAGTAGCGCACCGATCGGCCGGGAGGTCCTCAAGACCACAAGGGCCAGAGCAGTGGGGTCGCGTCGATCCGGGACGTTCGCGGGGGTGCACTTCGGCCTCTCTCGGCCTCGGAGCGCCGGTGGAGCCGGCGCCTCAGCAGCAGCTCGCCCGCTCTGCCGAGTGCTCACGGCTTCTCTAGGCTCCGCCCAGGAAGGCGTGGCGAGCCGCTGCACGTACACAGCGCACAAAGGGTTCGAGGGGCGCTGGGGGCACGCGGCCAGACGCGCGTGCGACTGATTGGCTGCCGCCGCTTCCCGGGCTTCCTAAGTCTGTTGAGACCCCAGATCCTCCCTACCACGCACTGGAGACTCAGCTGGGCTCAGCGAGTGCCCCGGGGCCTGGCCTCGCCCTCAGCAAGGTCCTCAGGCGGAGAGGTAGCTGAGGTACTAAGAGACCAGGAAGACGCTGGGAGCCCACGTCGGGACAGGACTGTACTAGCTGCTCAAAGTATTTCTTAGCCCAAGGTGCCTCTTCTGAGAAGCCTTCCCTACTGCAATTCAGACTGCCCCTTGCATCTCTGACGCTTTGAATTTCGTGTGCTGTCTGTCATATTTATATTGGATTGTTTCATGCCTTCTTACCGCTATTGGACAGAGTGAATTGTTGTCACTGACTGTTTATTGGCCTCAGGCGCCAATCCCACCTTCCCACCGAGCCATCCCCCCTTCCCACTGAGGCCAACACCATTGGACAAAATTAGTCATTAAATCAATAAGTCAAAGCACTGATTCTGATTCAGCCCACCCCAACCCACCCACCATCACTATCATTGGATAGGATCCATCGTTAGGCCACTAACAATTTGCTTCAGGACCACCCACTCACCCCCACCACTCACCCTCAATGCTGTTGTTGGACAGTTATGATTAATTATTATATCACCACATGATGCTCCCAGCACTACCATGTGGAAAGGTAAACGTAAGGATTCTGGCACTTTCTTTCCTATTCCCTTCACCAACATAAGACTGTCCCACTTTCACGGCTGTCATTATTGCCACCTTCCAACAACACAGGGCTATGCTTACACCTGTTTTGACTATTCTTGACATGAGAACAAATTTGAACTCACAGATGACTGTACGAAATAATAATTACTGCGGGGCATGGTGGCACACACCTGTAATCCCAGCACTGGGGAGGCTGAGGCAGGAGGATTATTACAGGCCAACATGGGCTACATAGTGAGTTTTAAGTGAGCCTGAACTACATAGCAAGACCCTGTCTCAAAACAAAACAAAACAGGGCCAGGGAGATAGCTCAATAGAGTAAAAGCTTGTTTGGCAAGTGCAAAGGCCTGAGTTCAATCCCAGATTCTGTTAAAAAAAAATCATTATTACCTAATGTGAATGCACAAAATATTACTTGCTATAACCATTTCTACCAAACTTTGTCTTAATGTTTGGTAATATCTAAACACAAACTCAAAAGAAATGTAGAGTGTTCCTTAAGGGAAGGTAAAATTTTAACTGGAAAGCACTCCTCTCTTCTAATTGGACCAGTTTATCCCTGTTTTATCTTTTGAATGAGATTATTAGTATGTAGCTGTTTAACTTTTGTGCCTTCATTGGGTATTTATTTACTCATTTCTTTGCTTCATAAAGTAACTACATCTTTATGCCAGTAAAGAAAAGTAGCATGTACACTTAAAGCTATCTGGTGGTCTGCCCACATTTCTATCTTTTCAAGTACAACTTGGTTATCTTGATGGTGGTGTGTGAACTATCCTGCTTTTTCCATGCTAATCAAAGCCTAAGAAAGATATACTGACAAACTTTCCAACAGGCAGCTTTACCGGCAGAGCCAAGCTCCCCACTTGATCTGCATGGGTGCACAAAAGGAAGAACACTGCCTCTGGCTCCTTTAGTGACTTTCTCAGGTTCTACCACAGGTGTGGTGTGATTGGTAGATATGATGACAGTCAGTGGGCAGGAAAAAGTTGGATACTGGTAGAGAAGAAGGATGTTGCAACATAGTACTGCCATTCTTTCTGAATGTGCAAATCACTAGTTTGCCCCTTTCATTTCTGCTACCCAAAATGTTACTTTAAATCTATTTATTACACTGATTTGATTATTTGACTTTTCATGTGCCTAATATTATGTATGCATCTTCAAAAGCTGGCAAAGCCCTAGAATATGAAAAGGCTTGGTGTAATGGAAAATGTTTTGAGCCATGAATGACCCATCTCAAGCTTGGTAATAGAGTTAACCAACTATGCAACATTAGACAAGTCACCTAGCCCTTCTGTATCCCAGTTATTTTAATATCAGATGGATACAGCTTATTTTTCTCCGTGGTATTTGTGACAGACAAATGAAATGAATCACATCTAATATAAACAAAAAGTATTGTTTTATCTCTTTTGTACAGTGACACATATGTTTTTATGTAATAGTTTCATGATAGTTGACAAAGTCCAGAAGCTACAGCAGTTGGTTGATTGCAGTGGCGGTTATACTTAAATGAGTTTTTAAAGAACTCTCCTGACGAGTGCCGGACAGGCGTGATGGCACATGCCTGTAATCCTAGCACTCTAGAGCCTGAGGCAGGGGGATTTCTTTGAGTTCCAAGCAAATCTGCTACATTAGTCAGTTCAAGGCCAGTCTGAACTACTGAGCAAGGCCTTATCTTAACACAAAAAACAAAAAAAAACCCTCTACTTACATTTATCTCCAGCCTAAAGGAAGTTCTCTTGAGAGAAATACATCTTAAACTTTTCCCATTTCTTACACACACCAGAGTCTTGTGGAGGGTCCACTCCTAGTGGTTGCCAAAGTGAAATCCCTGGGCCAGCAGCAGCATAGTTGTGTGGGAAGTTATTAGAAGCACAAACTCTTATTTGTAGCCCTAGTTCATCAGACACTTTAGGGGTGGGGCCCAAGAATCTACTTTAATATACTGATTTAGGGGCTGAGGAGGTAGCTCATGGATATAAGTACCTGCCTGTAAAGCACAGGGTCCTGAGTTCTATCCCTGGTACCGAAAAAAAAATACTGATTTAACAAACTTTGAGGGTCTTAATACACGGCCACAAATTCTTTGATACTTCTCAAGTAATGGTGCTTGACTCATCTCCCTTTGAGTGTGGGCTAGACTTAGTACTCACTTCTAACAAATAATATATGGCCAAAGTCTCATCTCAGAGGTTAAGCTATAAAATACTGGGGTCTCACAAAATATCTGACCACTACTCCTTGAAACTATCAAGGTCACTATAATCAAGGGAAGTCCAAGAAACTGTCACAGCCAAGAAGAGCCTCAGAAGACAGAAAAACTAAAGCAGATTCTGGAACAAAGGGAATATTAGCTTAAAAAGAATTTTCAGTGAAGTATGAACTTCGGACCAACTTGTTTAAATATACCTAGGGTTTAAAGTAGGGTGGGATCTAGTTTGCTAGATCTTGTTTTAAAAACACCTCCACCATCACTTGACTGGGTAAGATCTTGTTATTTCCACGTCCTTTCCTTGCTGTCAACCAATACTTCTGAGAACCTATTGCATACTCTGCAAAAGTATCTCTATTGTTTCTTCATAGTAAATATGATGGGTGAGTTTTACCCTCACTTGAAACATGAGTATGCCCAAATGATAGCTCAATGGCATAAGCACCTGCCTAGCAAGAGCAAGGTCCTGAGTTCAATTCTTAATAACAAAAAAAAGAAAATTAAGAAATCTTTGGGGTCAGACAGCTCAGAGGTCTAAAGTGTCTGCTTAGGCAAGCTTAGACAAAGGCAGAGACCACAGTTTGATCCCTGGCACCATATGCTGCTGAGCCAGCCACACACACACACACACACACACACACACACACACACACACACATGCACGCACGGGCACACAAAGAAAGATGAGTGAATAATTTTGCAGGTTAACATAATTTAAGCTTATATAGCTAGTGAGTAACAGTGTGGATTTAAATCTGTGACTCCTGATTCTCAATTTTATGTTGTTTTAAAATATCATCCTGCCCTTTTCAAAAGACCTTATTTTATTTTTTTTTTAATTTTTATTTATTTATTTATTTATATTTTTTTGTGTGTGGCCAGCTCAGCCCACCAGGGGGCGAGGATTGAACCACCGTCCCTGTGCTTTGCTTAGCTTAGCTTGTTCTAAGTTGGTGCTTTAGACCACTGAGCCATCTCACCAGCCCAAAAGACCTTATTTTAAAAAGCATTTTAGGTTCACATCAAAATTGAGTGGAAAGTACAAGGAGTTCCCACCTACCCTTTTGTACACAGCCCACCCCACCATCAGCAACCTCCACCAGCTCAATACATTTATTACAGTTAGTGAACCTACATTGATATAACATCACTCAAAGTCCATCGTTCACATTGGAGGTCAATCTTGGTGCTATGTGGTCTGGGACTCAACACATGTACAATGACATGTGCCCACCATTGTAATATCTTAGGGAGTATTTTCACCCCCCTCAAAGTCCTCAGCACTCTGATTATTCATTCCTCCTTCCCACTAATTCCTAACAAGCACTAATCTTGTTACTGTTTCCATAGTTTTACCTTCTTCAGAATGTTACATGGTTGGGGTTGTACAGTATATTATCCTTTTGGATTGGCTACTTTTACTTAGTAATATGCATTAAAGTGTCCGTGTCTTTTTATGGCTTGATAGCTTACTTTTTTAGGACTAAATGATATCCCATTGTGTTGGTGTACAGTTTATTTATCCTTCCAAAATTTGCCAGCCCACCTTATGATTTTATTTTTTTATTTTTTATTTTTTTATTTTTTTCCACCGTATGATTTTAAAACTGGCAAGTGAGCTTGTAAAGATGAGTACACTAGCAGAATGAGGCCTATTTAGTAAACATATCTTTAATCAAATGCATATGATTTGAAGCAATAGCTCTTCTACGTATCTAGGTCAGTGGTGATAAACCTATAACATGCATGCTGCAGCAGGCTACTTGTACCATTGAAAGTTCTAAAAGGTTTGCAATCATTAATCTGCATTTTAGG